CCCATTAAAGCCAAATCATTACACCAAGGATCTTGCTAGAATCAAATTCTTCTACCTTTCCCAACTTTTAGCCTTACACCTTGAATGAAATATGAATAAGATTTCTCAATCCCTTTCTAGACTGAGCAACCAATGGAGGAGGAAGAGATCTCAAGATCCCAGGCAAAATTCTTGGTGCCAAACTTTTCTACAATCAGATGCCTCCACAAGTTATATGGTTGGGAGTTAAAGATCTAGAACCACCTCCCCAATATAGAGTAGTATTAAACTACTTTAGCCTTCTTACACATAGGCCCCCATCAGCCACAAGTTTACAAACAACCTCTCAATTCACCTGATGGATCTTCTACTCACCCTCCTTTCCATACCAAAGGAAGTCCCTTTCTAACTTCTTAAACCTTTCTTCCACATTGATAGAAATAAGGAACAAAGATAAAAAAAAAAATGAATAGGCAGGTTTACCGAAGAGATTTTTAACAAAGTTAGCTCCCTTGGAGATTTACCTTTATTTCCAGCCTCCTAATCTCTTTGCCAACATTTCAATCGCCAAATCCAAAATAGGTTTGGACAAGCATTTAGCCCCAATTGGCAAACCCAGGAAGTTGAAAGGAAGATTCCCAACTTTGCATCCAAGCTCTTGGATGTCACTAACTTCCCCTACCAGGAAGATTTTACTTTCCTAAAAGTTGACCCTAAGGCCTAAAATCACCTCAAACCATACTAGAATCATCTAAAGATTACTTGGCTACTCCTTCTCTACCTAAATAAAAAATAAAGTGTCATCTGCATATTGAAGTAAGGGAACCTCTATTCCGTCACTAGCTACTCGAAAGCCTTCAATACACCTTGTGGCCATAGCTCTTCTCATCAATCCTGCTAAGGCCTCCACCACGCAAATGAAAAGTAACAAGGAGAGAAGGTCTCCCTATTGAAGGCCCCTCGATCTCTTAAAAAAGCCAAAAGAGGACCCATTGACCAGAATGGAAAAATTAGTTGTGGAGATGCACATTCTGACCTAATTCCTCCACTCCTGCCCAAAATTCA